GAGAACAGGAAAATCATTCCTAATTGAACCAATTCAATGCGAGTTGCTGGAAATCAAAATTCAATTACCCAAAAGTTCAACAGGGAGGGAAATGCACAGCAGATTCCACAACTTTACCCGGCTTAAACAGCACCTTAGCAGCCAAGATTTGCAAGCAACTCAGTCACTCTGCGCTTACTTAAAAAATTCCAACAGATCAGGTTGTTCAGAATCCTAAAGCATTATACCAAGGAACCTGTAGTTTGTGGTTCACCATCCATTGCACAAGTCACTTCACAGAAGGGAAGACTGAAAACCAATAAATCATCCCATGGTATTTGGTGTATTTACTACCTGCAGAAATTTGTTTATCCATCGACAGCAAGAAGACACAATATAGATCAATGAGTAAGGAAGTCACACCCTAAATAAAGCAGCGCAAGGAAGCACTCCAGGACATTCACGATTATATACCATTGAACTGCAACACACCATTTCTTTAATGTTAGGCAGCAGCTGATCAGATTTGCTGACCTCCTGTTAGGGAGAGACGAGCTTCCATCAACCCCGAACAATCATTGGATTCCAGCTTTGAGCTTCATCCAGAACAATTGCAGATGCTGTTCAAAGCATTCACCTTCATGCAGTTTTATATACATTTGATTCAATTTATTTATTTTGCAGTTCCTACAGAGGCCACTTTTAGTTTATGACCTGTACCTGGAGCGCATTTCTCAATATTCAGCCACAACTGCTGTTGTTCCTTGATTGGCCAACAACCCCTCTTCTCCTAAGGCAGCAGCTCATAGGATTTGTTTCCAATTCAATGCTACTGTACCTACATTGTTAAAATGGCCAATTTGACAGACTTGTCTGCGTCTCACATGACGCACATTCCTTCAACCAAAGGTGCGCAATTCACCTTTGAGATCCTGTCTTAAAGACATTGAAGCACAGGAGCAGTCCTGGGAACCAACTTGAATAATTAACATATAAAAACATTCCAGCGTCCCTTTAAAAGGGAACATTGTTTTGACTTGAGATCTCAAGGCAAACTGCTGAAATGATTTTGAAAGAGGTTGTAACGTCTTCATAATTTTCCTTCGTTTTAAAACTAATCAAAGGCATTTTCACTAAATATCTTCTAGTTTCCATGTGCTCTTTTGTTTCCACAGATCCAGTGCAATTTAAAACCCCCACTCCAGGAGGAAAGCGTTTCTGAAGGAAAGGAATCAGGCAGTGGAGAAGCAGTTGTGTAACAGTAATTTTTATTCCCCCCAGCCCCCCCAAATGCACTAAATTCCTTCTTTCTACAGGGGTACATTCCCACAGGCATCCTTCAGTAATTCACCACATAGTGATTTGATTCAGAGTGAGCTGACAGTAAGTGCCAGAAACATTTGATGCAGCCAAACTGCCTCCTGAGGCTGATCTTGTTCTTACACCTGCAAAGGAGTCTCTGAAAACCAATCAGTCGAACTTGGTCTGACTTTCACCTCTCTGACCTAGACATAGAGGCTAATTGTAATGTCCGAAGATATTATCTGTATGGTTCAACTATAAGATAATATTCAGTTAAAAGAACTTGCATATGGTTTTTGATAAACTGAACTTTGCTCAAAGAGGAATATTGCTGTTGATCTCGAGGGTAATTACTCTTAAAGGTGCACAATTCTCATGAGAAAACGTTTCACAAGCCGGCAAGTGAGAAACCAGATTGAAAATTACTTCAGGACCAAGTGATAATACCTTCCAATGCAACTTTACAACTGCTTCTCATGTTTAGAATCCAACACAACATTAAATTGTTGAACCATTTAAGCCACTGCCTTTTTATGCACTCATCTAACAGGTTTCTTTTGTCTGGCAAGGATATTTACTACAAAACATGGCAAACTTACTTCACGGATAAGGTGGCAAACACTGTGGCTAAGAAACACTTCCATAGTATTCCGTGTATATTCCCTCCTTATATCAATAAATCCTGAACTAATATCTAAGAGCAATTCCCAGAATAAGCATTACGGAACACGCTTTGACCACATCTAGATCATTCATCTTGCACATCACGAGAATGGGTGCTATGAAGGCACTGCTCACCTACTCAACCTCTCACCCTGACAGTATGTCAAAATGCAATCATACAAGAAATCAATTAATTGCGAAAAAAATGTTGATACACAATCAAGCGCCACCTGCTCGTGTTCAACTCCACGCTCCACTGCGCAACCGATACAAGTACCAAATCCCCAGTTCAATGCCTTTTTTAAAAAAAAAATTGGTAGGGTCGGAAAGGGAATAGATCACTATTAATCTTCCGGTAGGAATTGCATTACGCCCGATCAGTTGGTCAGGCTTATTTTTGTTTTTTAAAAAAAAAGTACAGCAATACGTGCACGATCATTTTTTTTCGGAAAGTGCATGATGGTCCCACGTATGCATTACATTAGTGACCTCTGCTTAAACAAATCCAGATTACTCTGCAAGTGACAGATCGCAATCGACACAGGGTCCCTTTTGAATAAAAAAAAACCCCCAAGCCTTCCTTCTCTACGGTTTCCGCCTATATTTCCAACTGTGTGTGTGTGTGTGTTTTTTTTAAAAACATAAAAAAAATGTAATTTAATTTTTTTTGTTTAAAAAAAAAGCAGGAACACGCATCGAATAAGAACTGCACTCTATTAAAACCAACTTCAAATGGAGCAAAGGGCGAGTGACAGCCTGTGCCAACTCAGCAACTGTTGCGCTCTCTTAATGGACATCGCCACACACACATACACACTCACTGCAATTACCAGGCAGTTGTCAGGGGATCGAATCCCCCCACCACCCACCCACCACCAACGCGTGGGTTAGAGAAAAAAAAGTAATGGGGAGAGAGAGAGAGAGAGAGAGAGAGAAAAATAAATAAAATCTTTTCTGCATTTTAAGGCATGTCCGCGTGGAGCTTCAGAAACTGACAACGTCACCAGACAGCGGATTGGGGGAAAAAAATCTGTATTTGTGTGTGTGATGGTGGTGTGTGTGTGTGTGTGTGTGAGGAGAGGGAGAGAGAGAGAGAGAAAGGCAGACGGGGTGGGGGTGTAGGGGGGGGGGGGAGAGAGGAGGAGAAAACACCATGGAAAATAAAATAAAACTCACCGGGTTTGATGGGAGGGGGGAAGGTAAAAAGTAAGTGTGTGTGTGTGTGTGTGGGAGAGAGGGAGGGAAAGGAGGGGAGGGGAGGGGGGGGGGGGGGTGTTGGAAAAAAAATCGTACAGCAAAAATAAAATGGGTGGGTAGAAAATGGGAAGAATTGGAATTTAATAGACAAGAGCAGAGTGAGAGAGGGGGAGAGAGAGAGAGAGAGAGAGTGTGTGTTGGCCGCACACTTCGGCAGATCTCCTCCAGTTTATTCCACGTAGCAAACTCTTACTCGTTGCATAATCAATCCATTCGTGGATGGCGGGCGGGGGGGGCGGGGGGTGGGAGAAGAAAGGGACACAGGGAGGGGAGGGGGGAGAAAAGTTTTTTTTAAAAGAAATGTGTGTGGGGGTGAGAAAGAGAGGAAGCGGGGGGGTGGGGGGCGGTTGTGTGGGGGTGGGGGGGATGTTGTGTGTGTGGGGGGGCTGTGTATGTGTGGGGGGGGGTGTGGTGTGTGGGTGCTGTGTGTGGGGTGGCTGTGGGTGGGGGGGCTGGGGGGGTGGGGGGTTGTGTGTGGGTGTGGGGGGTGAGGGGGTTGTTTGTGGGGTGTGTATGTGTGGGGGTTGTGTGTGAGTGGTGTGTGTGGGGGGGTGTGGGGGAGTGGGGGGTTGTGTGTGGGGTGGTTGTGTGTGTGTGTGGGGGGGGTGTGGGGGGTTCTGTGTGGGGGGTGGGGGGGTTGTGTGTGGGGTGTGAGTGTGGGGGGGTGCGTGTGGGGGTGGGGGGTTGTGTGGGGGGTGGTTGTGTGTGTGGGGTGTGTGTGTGTGTGGGGGGGGTGTGTGGTGTGTGGGGGGGGGGTGTGGGGGGGTTGTGTGTGTGGGGGGGGTTGTGTGTGTGTGTGTGGGGGGGGTTGTGTGGTGTGTGGGGGGGGTTGTGTGTGTGTGTGTGGGGGGTGTGTGTGTGTGGTGTGTGGGGTGTGTGTGTGTGGTGTGTGTGGGGTGTGTGTGTGTGGTGTGTGGGGTGTGTGTGTGTGGTGTGTGTGGGGTGTGTTTGTGTGTGTGTGGGGTGTGGTGTGTGTGTGTGTGTGTGTGTGGGTGTGTGTGTGTGTGTGGGGGGGGTGTGTGTGTGTGGTGTGTGGGGTGTGTGTGTGTGGTGTGTGGGGGGGGTGTGTGTGTGGGGTGGGTGTGTGTGTGGGGGTATAGTCTGTCTCCTCTCGGCCCTCTTTCAGAAGGTTTGTTTCGGGGGAAACTTCGAAAGCTTTTGGACAAACTTTGAGGGGGAAAAAAAAACTTTGGGAAGAGTTTGTGCGCAGCCGTAATGGTGACACGTAGCGCCGGACCCGACGGCGGCGGCGGCGCTCGGGGGGGGGGTAAAAAATCAAAAAAAAACGGCTCATGTCTGAGCGGCCTTCCCCACCCCCCACCATCCACCCCAACCCCACCCCACCCCACCCCGAGCCCGGCAGCGCCTCCACTACCAGCCCCCGGCTCCGGGCCACTTCCACACCACCGACCAGGCCCAAGCCGAGGCCCGACCGACTGACCGACCGACTGACTGACTGACCGGCCGACCCGGGGGGTAAAACACGCCGCCCGGGCTGTCACCGCCGCCGCCGTCGCCGCCGTCGGCCCTCCACCAACCGCTGCACAACCGGCTTCACGTCCGCCCGTCCGCCCGCGCCTCACACCTCCCCGAGGACGGGAGGAAATAATATTCGCCGCCGCCGCCTTTTTCTCTGGTCGCCGCCGTTCTCTCAGACGCGGTCGGACTCACTCGCGTCCATATATATATTTTTTTTTTCCTCTCTCTCTCTCTCTCTCCTCCTCCCTCCTCCCCCGTCCTCGCTGAGAGGCCCAGTCGCCGGCTCCGAGCCCCTGCCTCCCCGGGTCCTGGGTACTCACGGGTTGGTGGTGTCCTTGTAGCCCTCTCTGGTGGAGAAGCTCCTGAACTCCAATGTGATGGGGATCACACGGCGGCCGCCGGCTTATAGCGAGAGGCAGGCCCGGCCCAGGCCCCCGCCCCCCGCCCGCCAATCACCCGCTCACACGTCAGAGACACACACAGGCGGAGGGGGGCGGGGGGGGGGGGGGGGGGGGGGGAGCGGAATCAGAGTGGAAGAGGGAGAGAAGGGATGAGGTGGTGGGAGACAGAGAGAGAGAGAGAGAGAGAGGAGAAAGGGATGAGGTTAATGAGAGAAGGGTAAAGGGGGGGAGGGGAGAGGTGAGGTGGACGACGGGGAGGGCGGGTACGAGGGATGAGGGAGAAAGGTGGATGAGAGGGATATGCGGATGAGGAGGGGGGAGAGGGATGGGGAGGAAGGAGGGATGAGGGGGATGAGGAAGAGGGATGAGGTGGGGGGGGAAGAGGGATGAGGTGGGGGGGAAGAGGGATGGGGGGGAAGGGATGAGTGAAGGGGATGAGGGGGGAAGGGGATTGTAGAGAAAGGGGATGAGGGAGGAGAAGGGGATTGTAGAGAAGGGATGAGGGAGAAGGGGATTGTAGAGAAAGGGGATGAGGGGGAAATGAAAGCATAAAGAGGTGATGGGGGGTAGAGGGAGAAGGGAGAGAAACAATTGAGGAATGTTGGGGGCAGAGAGGAGAGGGGCAAAGCAAGAGGGGGGGGGGGGGTGAGACAGAAAGAGGAGAGAATGGTAATGGGTGTGTGGGAGAATTGCTGGAGAGCAAAGGGGGAAAACAGAAAGGAGAGGGAGGAGAGTAAGTAGACAGAGGAGAGATAAGGGGGAGTGTGAGGAGAAATTGAGAGGGGTGGAGAAGAAAAGGGAGAGGAGAGAGTGCAGGAGAGAGGAGGACAGAGAAAGATAAAGTAGGGAGTGAGAGGTATTTAGAAAGGGGGCAGAGAGAAAGGGAGAAATATGGAGAGAGGGGGGATATATGGAGAGGGAGGTCGGCCTATCTTATGGTCAAGTAAAAGACATCCTCATGTGAGATACAAAATGTAGCAATCTAGAAGAAAAACCCATGCAAAAATTATCCAGTTTATTTTGCGCTAATTTTCCCCTTTCCAATTCTGGTCGTGTTTGACTCACTTCTCCTATTGGAATATGATTCCATGGTACAAGTCACCCTCCAGTTCATCATCTAAAGTGGCTAAGGATCACACGTGAGCTTCATTTGTGAGTTTTGGCAGTCTATTTCAACTCTGGGAAGGATATTATAGTTAAGCCGATCCTGTGCTCACCAGATATCCCTCACGAAACTTCATTGGGGCTCTTTATAGGCAATTGGGAGCAAAACCTCTAGATTTTACCCTCTCAACCCAAGTGGATTGATGCCAGTTAAGAATCCAACTGGTGCCCCAGCTGGTATCAACTAAATTAACAAACTTATTTGTGACTGCACCTTTATTTTCTGTAAGGCATAGTTTTACACAGTGCAATACCTTTACACATTAGGCCATCGAGTGAATGTATACAGAGATTTGACTGCAACCTGTCCTTGGGCCACAATGTTGGGAAAATATTGACAAAAATACAATTATACCTCAGATGTAAAGGAAGCCACAGGAAAATGTACACACAGCAAGGCCAACCAGTGAAAACTTCAAGGACTCTAAATTATGGATAGAAAAGGTAGGAGGTCATTTATGTTAACCATATTCAAAAAATGCAAACAATACTCAAAATGCTTAAGATGTTCTTAGTCTCCATGTGGAAATCAATTCTATCTGCAGACTTAATACATGACATATATGACTTAATATATGTGTGTTGTCATACATGTCGAGTAATATGACTTGACTGTCCTGGTTCTACCAGTCAAATGGCAAAGTCTTGTGGTTCTCATTTAGCATATAAGATCCAGTCATGGCAATAAAGGGTTTGACTCAGGACCCTGGCTGCTTCCTGGTTACCTGCAGACCTGGGGTCAACTTCCACATGTACGCGGATGACACCCAACTCTATTTCTCTGTCTCCATCCTTGATTTCAGGACAACTGACATCCTGACAGACTGTCTGTCAGACATCAAGTCCTGGATGAGAGCCAACTTTCTACAGCTGAATGCCAGCAAGACCGAGGCCCTCAGACACTGGCAGTATCAACATCCACGGATGCACACTCAACCTCACCAAGCCAGTCAGAAACCTGGGCAACTTGTTCGACCCTCAGCTGTCCTTTCTCCCCCATATCCGTACCATGACCCGTTCTGCCATCCGCCACCTCTGCAACATTGACTGTGCCTTCGGCCGCCCTCTTAACTCTCTGCCCTCCCTCATCCCAACCCTGCTCGTGTCCGGATCCCTGACTGTTCAGTGCCTTGGGATGTCCTCCCGGTGGGGAAGGCGCTTTACAAATGTCATTTGTTTGTTGTTGCTTTTTCATCCACATCTGGAAATTGCTGTGCTGAAATGTTATGCTGCTAGTGATACATAAACTGGAATTATCCACAAACTGGTGGATGCCAATCCCATTTTCTTTCTAAAATGACTTTGCCTAATAAAGAAAGAAGATGTGCATGATTTTTGAGTGGTTGACTAAGCCAATGGGGGCTGATGGCCAGTCAGACAAGCAACCCCTAGCAGTCACTTGGAGATGAGAATGTAAAAAAAGCCTGAACCAAACAAAAATCAGCCAATTCAAAACACAATGTTGATAACATTCAAAATGGCTTGATTTTCAAAAGTGTTCTTTGACATTGATACAGGAATAAAAGAACAGTTTTCAACAGCAGGAAAATGATCAAGATAAAAATTAACAGATCAGGAGATTACATTTGAAATGCTGCTTTAATGTGATGTACTCTTTGGATTTCATTGACAGCATAAACAGTGTTACAAAGTAGAAACTTTGAACTTTTACCATAAGAAACCACTCAAACCATTCTCCCACACTCTAATTCCATATTCCTTTCATCGTGGCTTGATGCTTTCCCACAGTACAAGATGAGGAATTCTCTGGGACATTACATATGATCTTCAATTTGTCGCACTAAACATTTACAGTAATAGTGGATAAAATAAAATTTAATTTGAATTTTTTTCCCTTTTATCACCTCAAGGCTGGACTATGGGAACTCTCTCTTCGCCGGCCTTCCTGGCACCTCCCTCCAGCTCATGTGCTGTCCCGCACCAGGCTTCACGACCACATCACTCCCACCCTCGCTCGCCTCCACTGGCTCCCCATCCCCCAGAGGATCGAATTCAAGATCCTCATCCTCACCTACAAGGCCATTTACGGCCTTGCTCCCTCCTACCTGTCTGACCTACTATCCCCCTCCCTCCGTTCCTCTGGCTCCGGTCTGCTCCACATCCCCCGCCCCAACTGCCCTACCATCGGTAGCCGGGCCTTCAGCCTCTCAGCCCCGAGGCTCTGGAACTCCATCCCCCAGTGCCTTCGCCGCTTCCTCCCTTTCCTCCTTCAAGGCCAGTCTCAAGACCTTTCTCTTTGACCGTGCCTTGACCTCCCCTCTCAACTCTCTACCCCCTCCTCGCTCCCTCCCTTCCCTCCCCTCGACCATTTCACTCCTGCTCGGGTCCTGACCCAACAGTCCAGCGCCTTGGGATGTCCTCCTGACGTGAAAGGCGCTCTATAAATGAAATCTTGTTGTTGTTGTTTTAAAACAGTTTGACCAAATCTGCCAAATTTATAATTGTACAAAATCTGCCTTCTTGGGAATCAACATATCAAGATTACGATCTATACCATTCCTAGTTTGTTAGCAGGGATACTAATTTCAAGGAATCCCAAATAAAAATAAAGAGAATCACAGCGAGTCCCTGGTCCAGACAAAATCTTTGTTTGGCAATGGGGCAACGTAGTGGAAGACTCTTGGTCAATGCACTAAGCATAGATCACTCACATTCAGAAGTACTTTGGAGAAATAGTTATCCCACAAATTTAACTGCATGCACTGTGTGTGCATACAATTTATCCTAATTGTAATGTGCAAATCAAGAACAGCTGTATCAAAAATATTGTTTTGGGTTTACTACCTCAATCCAATTTAAAATTTAATACACCTTTATAATATTGTCAGTGTGGCTGAGTTGGTAGCATTCTTGCCTCGGAGTCAGAAGGTTGTGGATTTAAGCCCCACGTCAGGACTGGGAAGCCGTATAGTCTGCTGGCACTCCAATGCAGGAATGTGCTGCATTGTTGGAGGTGGTGTCCTTTAGATAAGTTGGGACATCCTCCTGACGTGAAAGGCGCTATACAAATGTAATTTGTTCTTGTTGAAACTGAGATGCTGTCTGCCCTTCCAAGCGGCTGTGTAGTTTTTCCTTTAAGCAGGTGAAGTACGTGACTGACCCTTTAAGGACTCTGTGGAGTCCTGTAGCTCAGTGGTTAGAGTACTCGCTTTGCAAGTGAGAGACCCGAGTTCAATTCCAGGCAGAGGGCGAAACCTTGGGCAAGTTTCCTTACTCCACACAGAGCCTAATAATAATCCCTCCAAAAAAAAACAATAATAAATTGGTCATTTTCAATCTACGACTGTTTGTGGGACATTGCTGTGCGCAATTGGCTGCCGCGTTCGCCCACAAATATACATTCAATTCACTTTACAATATATTCTGTGAAGCGCTTTGGGACGTCTAAAAGACGTGAAAAGCGCTATATCAAATGCAAGGATTATTATTATTATTTAAGATGGCAACAACAACAAATTACATTTGTATAGGGTCTTTCACGTTGGGAGGACGTCCCAAAGTTCCCCAGAGAGTCAAGGATGTGCACCCGAGCTGGGGATTGGGATCAGGAGAGGTTAAGGGCAGGGAAGGTGGAGGTAGGAGAGTGACCGTCACTCTCGCACAGTCGAAGAGACAGGTGTTGAGATGGGGATTGAAGGAAGCAAGGGAGGGGAGCGGCGTGTGCCAGTCCCTTTAAGATGGAGAAACGTGTGCCTGCCCCTTTAAGATGGAGAAACGTGTGCCTGTCCCTTTAAGATGGAGAAACGTGTGCCTGTCCCTTTAAGATGGAGAAACGTGTGCCTGTCCCTTTAAGACGGAGAAGCGTGTGCCTGTCCCTTTAAGCAGGCGGGGGGGTGGGGGACGATGACGGTGTTGTGTCCGCCTCTGGCGCGGTGCAGTCTGGGGGAGGGTTCCAGTATCGCGAGGGTTGCGGCGCCGCCCGGATCAGCCACAGTCGGTGCCGTGAGTCCAGCGCCGACCGCCCGCCCCCCCTCCGCCCCCGCGCGCACCGTAACCGAGTCCCCCCCTCCCTCCCTCCCCCCGGAGCAGAGAGCCCCGGCGTTTCGGCCTCTTTATCCCGAGTCGCCACCGCTCCTCCTCGACCGCATTGCACGGAGAGTAAGTGAGGGAACGGGAACCGCCCTCTGTTGCTCTCTTCCTTCTCTGCCGCGGGGCCGCACCGGGAGGGCGGGGCGGGGGGTCCATCCCCACGGGGCGGGGGGGGGGGCGGGAGGTTTGGGAGATGCGAAGTCCTAACAAAGATGAGGAAGCGACTCGGAGGGGAGAGAGAGAGAGGGCCCGGGGGGTGGGGGGGCGGGGAGTGTGATAACTGTCCTGTGATCTCGTTGGGGGGGAGGGGGGGGAATGGGGGAGGGGAGGGGGGAGAAAAGGCATCTCTGGGGAGAGAAGGAACCTTCTGGTGATGTGTGTAGATGGCAGTGTGAGGGGGTGTGGGTGTGGGTGGGTGTGTGTGTGAGGGGGGGAGTGTGTGTGGGTGGGTTGGGGGAGATAGTCAAGTGTATGGTTTTGGAGGGGATGAGGAAAGGTCCCGCAGAGCTTCTCCCGATTCTCTCAAAAGAATTTTTTTCTCAAAAAAAACTCTCTCTCTTTCTCTCAAAAAAAATTCTCTCGCGTTTATATAATAATAATAATCCTCGCATTTGATATAGCGCTTTTCACGTCTTGGAGGACGTCCCAAAGCGCTTCACAGAACACACTGTAAAGTGAATTGACTGTATATTTGTGGGCGAACTCGGCAGCCAATTGCGCACAGCAATGTCCCACAAACAGTCGTAGATTGAAAATGACCAATTTATTGTTGTTTTTGGTTTTGGAGGGATTTGTTAGGATGTGGATGGAGTGCTTTACCATAAACGGTTTTGGGGAAGTTGGCTCCCGCAGGAACACTTTGACAGGGAAATAGATGAGTACTTGAAGGTAAAATAGTCCTATTTTAGTAGTAGAGGGAAAGAGCAGGAGGACTAGGGTTTAAGGTAAATCGCTCTGAAAGGAGCTCGTAGCTCCACAGACATAAAAAAGGCTTTTTCTTTTACTGTAATGTTTTTGTGCTGCTTCACAACTCCACCTCCACTGGACTGCAGTTTATAATAATAATCCTTGCATTTGATATAGCACTTTTCACGTCGGGAGGACGTCCCAAAGCGCTTCACAGAACACACTGTAAAGTGAATTGACTGTATATTTGTGGGTGAACGCGGCAGCCAATTGCGCACAGGAATGTCCCACAGACAGTCGTAGATTGAAAATGACCAATTTATATTGAAAATGACCAGTTTATTTTCACTGCCCCTGTCTTTCTTTCAATTTTTCTTTGTTTCTATTGCAAGCGAAGTTGTGTTTTTACAAGATGCTTGGTTTCTCCTTTATGTTCCAAACTTTACAGATTGTGTTTGCTTCCACACGTTTTACAGATTTTTCTCCAG